GAATGTAAATTTCACGCAATGTATTAGAATCACAAGTTATCAAGACGAAAACTAATGATAAAAGGAAGCGCACACATGGCACATAAACTCGTGCTGACTCCGCAAGATCATTGGCCAATTAGAAGGATGGAATCCACTCGCGTGGTTCTCTACACGTGAAAAAAGGTTATATAATTTAGACAATTAATCAAATAATTAAGTTAGACAAATCTGACTCACTGGCCACTACAGAGACATCGTAAACATTTACAGTATAAATTTGTCACTCTTTATATCAGTCTAAGCTATAAAACTACACAATTAATCTTCCCTGCTGTCTTAAATGATTTTATTCCGCTTTTCAATTAGCAAATAAAATCGGTTATCATTCAAATGAACCAGTATGGTAGACGGTCAACATAACCCTTAACCGGTTTAAATCGATGATCAATGCTTTGACACAGTCCCCACATTTAAAGACTAATTTGTCATGATAACGTTGCTTTTTATCAACAATAGTTATGATACCAATAGAGGAAGTTTAAGATATGTTCCCTTGGCCTATGATATAGTCATTAAGATCTAAGACGACGGCTATACCTAACAAAAACAAACTAACCAATGAAATATCTTAGAGGCCACCACAATGCACAATCACCAAAAATGACACGACAAGCTCTTAATCGTCCCTAGTTAAGACGATATGTGAACAGAAACGACAACATATCTGAAAGGAATCTGGTTTGAATTGTTTTACATTTTGTAATGTCAGGGTCTCTTTATAACCGACTTTATAGTATGGGTTGCGTATATATCTGGTAGATATATAGTTGTCTCATTGGCGATCATACTACATCTCTTTATTTTTATATCAAATATTCATAACAGAAAAAAAACCAGGTTGAACGTACATTACTGGTATATTAGTTTAGTGTAATTCTCTTTTATCTCGATCAACGAAACAACAAAATATGAAAAAACTGGTGTAGTTAGAATTTATACTAGGTCTTCCAGAGATACATAGTATATAAAAGTAAGTTGTGCTTGCTTATTACTTTAATTAATTTATGTTCTATGTTTTGATTGGCTAGTTATCAATAACAATTATAACTATGTTCATAGGAAGTAGGAAGTAAACAAATGTAAAAATGATATGATGGTTACCTCACAGACAACACATCTCCATTGTTTGTGTACACTCTCAAACAGATGCATATGCAATTTGAACACCAGAATATAAAACCACTACATATTTAATATATCCAAAACATCAGAATTAGAAAATATAGAAAAAACGCACTTTATTTAAAAACGCTCGCATTTATGTAATTTTAAACATACTAATACAAAAAGACATATTTCACACACGAGAATCATACAGTCGTATAAAGATATTTTTTACAATTGATGAAAAATTGTAAATTGGATTGGACAATCAAACATATTATGAGTAAATGTTTTTATCAATATATTCTAGAAACCACTAGTGAAGTTTCACTCACAATGAAAGAAACAAACAAAAAAGAAGAAGTTACTGAGGGGCAAACAAAACAAATTAATGAAAGAATGACAGACAACACCACGAACAAAACAAAAATACGAAAAAACAACACATCACAAAACTCTATTCAGAAAACTAAAGATTTAGCAAACCCAGAAGGTAAGCAGTTCCTGCTCAATTAGTAGCACTTGTCGTGTTGCTCATTTCAAGTAAAAATTCAGTGATAAGTCACATTTGATGATGTCATATATGAGGACCTTGTGTCCTTGTCGCTACGGTGGGTGAATCATATCCATAAAATGAATTATTAAATGCGCCGTCATATTTTGGAAGTTCGCCTTGTTATTTTGAAACTACCCATTAGCAAGTGATCGAACTTCATGAAATCGAAATCGATGATAGTTTTCAAAACCAGACCTTTTCCATAGAAGTTTTGCATCGTATTCTTTGATGTTGTTTTTAGTTCCTTAATCAGTGGTTCTCTTGTTTCATGCTGTTACGTCAGCAGTCAGTGCGGAACTTCATATTTGTAAAGTTGAATTTAGAGATGCATATATGAATAAAAAGGGATTTCATTCAGATAAATATATCAACACTACGACAACAATAAAATAAAGGCACCCGTTTTTTCCGATTTATTTTTATCTCCCCTGTTATTTATGATACAATTTAATATTCAGTGTTTTACGGCGAGGCATAACATGTAGACAGCCAATATAACCAATTAAAAATCTATCAATGTATTGAGGCATTTTTAATCAAATCTTTTAAAACCATAATAGTGCCCTACTTAATATTGTTAGAACTGCTCCAGATGAAAAGATTCTCGAAAATACAGTTGATAGCTGGATTGAACTATGCGTTCCTTCGTCTGTTCTGGTTCTATATACTCTATATACTACTAGATACTACATACTTTCGACTTCAAAGAAACGTTGTTCAGTGCGTATTAACCTAAAATAGTGCAAATGTCAGAAGGTAAATGTCAATGTCACCTGATATCATTTAGAAAATAGCTGTTCTATATTTGTTTGATTTTGAGTTCAGCAATGGCATGACATATACGTGTGGTATTAATTTTGGGAACACGTAACAATTTCTATTCCAATCTTATAAAAACTAAAGTTGCAACTTCCTCTTACAAAGTTGGTTGTAGATTTCAGGCCATTCTATTTTATAGTATCAGGTAAAAAAAAAATGAGTTTGAGTGTGCCTAGTTGATGTCAATCTATAAATGCAAGTCGTATGAAACACTAGTCTATTTGCTATTTACGGAATTGACTCTCGACATTTGTACGAGTTTTTTCTACTAGGATGGACATACATTTTTTAATTGCCAATAAAGAGCAAGCAGAACGGGCAAATTTGTCTGTGCGTAATGTGTGTAGTATTCAAAATCTGTTAATTACATATTACCATTGTTAAACTAAAAACATTTGATAGAAATATGTTGGGTTTTTTTATACTAAAATTGGTAACAATGCCTATAATTCACTTTCAATTTATCATGCTTTACATGGGCAGCAACTCAGTTTGCCGGTAAAGTAGTCAAACATGTCTACAATTGGCAAAGGGAAACAAAATGTGTTAAAGGAGTGATATGGATGTAGTTAGGTGAAATTAAAAAAATCTCGAATTTAGAATTGATACTATAAGTCAAAAGAGCATTAGTAAAGGAACAAAATAAGCTAAAAATATTATGGACTCCTTTTTGCGATATTTGATTTTTTTAAAATGGCGGGGCTGACTCGGACTTTTACCTTATATTTAGCATTGGCATTATTTGGGTCTCAAATCGTAAGAAAAAAATCTGTTTAAATTTTGGTAATGACCTTTTTATGAGCTATTGAAGTCTTCTATGAAAAGAAAAGTGGGTGATATGAGCAAAATATTTTACCCTGTATCGTAGGATAAAACCGAACATCTGACAGAAATTCATAAACCTGACCTGAGTACATCCTTATAACAGAATCAAATCAGTAACTGGCAAATTTTGATGTACTTTCTTTGATATCCTGAAACACAAAATGCATGGATTACTGATTGATACTTCAACCTGAGAGAACAGGATTTATTTATTAGTTGTTATTGACTTCGAACTAACTTTAGTAACTGTGAGTACTCTTATGTCGGTGCTTTGTTTCTAATGTTTTATGTTAGTTGTGTTTGTGCCTCGTACCGATCTTTTGAGTTAAGCTAATTGCACTGATTTTTATAGTTTGTCCTTATGTTGTGCTGTTACATGTACAAGTACCCGGCCACGTCCACTTGTATTTGTAGTATTTGTATTTTTATCCATCTGATGAGTTAAGCCTCTTTCAACTGATTTTTATAGTTCGTCCTTATGTTGTACTGTTACACCACTGTCCCAGGTTAGGGGGAGGGTTGGGATCCCGCTAACATGTTTAACCCCGCCACATTCTGTATGTATGTGCCTGTCCCAAGTCAGGAGCCTGTAATTCAGTGGTTGTCGTTTGTTTATGTGTTACATATTTGTTATTCGTTCATTTTTTGTACATAAATTAGACCGTTACTTTTCTCGTTTGAATTGTTTTACATTGTCATTTCGGGGCCTTTTATTGATGACTGTGCGGTATGGGCTTTGCTCATTGTTGAAGGCCGTCATTTGGTCTCTTGTGGAGAGTTGTCTCATTGGCAGTCATACCTTATCTTCTTTTTTTATATTAACCCCGACACATTCTTTATGTGTCAGTGCTTGTCGTTGATTCATGTCTGTCATATTTGTTTTTCATAAATTGTCTTGTTATAAACTAGGCCATTGGATTTAATTTCCTCGTTTGAATTATTTCGGTGCCTTTTATAACCGTCTATAGGGTATGGGTTTTTTTCCATTGTTTAAGGCCGTACGGTTGCCTATAATTGATTACATCCACTTTATTTGAACTCTAATAGTTAGTTGTCTCATTAGCGATCATAAAACATCTCCTTATTGTTATTTTGATAATTACATTCATATTTTATCAATTGTAAAGAATTTGTAAAGATGGTAAAATTTGAATTTGAATCCAGTAAAACTGTCTTTGGTATAAAATTCAGATATGAAATACCGCCACAACTTTTCTTCAGGAGTTTTAGAGGATAAACTTATGAAGGTTATTCTCCCTTTTTTTTATTCATATCAAAGTTTACTATATATTTTCTGAAAAATCCAATGATAAGACGAAGTTCGTGACCAATTATCACGACATGTATTTGCAATTCATCACACATCACGTGCATATTGCACACGTTTGATATTGTCGCCAAAACATTTGATAACTTGTAAATTCCTAGTACAATATACGGAAATTTTTACATATTATTTAGCACTTGCCATTCAGAAGTTTGTTTCCTCTTGAAAAAAATACATCAAATAAGGTGACAATTGTAATATAAACTATATTGACCCAACAAACAAACAAATGTGTTGTTTACCGCGTTTCCTGGATGTTTATGACAATATCAATCATATTTATGTGTTTCCAATAAAGTGGACTATAAAAGCCATCACTAGTTCATTATTCTTTACTTGGACATAATCACTCAAGAAAAAGACAGGTGAGTTGCTTATACACTTGCAATTTCCTTTTCTTATCCGCCGATTTTTATATAATTGGAATAATTCTAATGACACCAATGGTACAAAGACCCGAAAACAATCTGTAGAAGGCAAGATAATGACTGCGTCAGCTGTAAAATTTGAATCAATGTCTATCTTTGATCTTGCTGTAATGAAGTTATGATATTAAATTCAACCTTTTGGACTTGGCTTCAAATTATCAGGTCTATCAAATAAAATAAGTTATCTGTCCGCTTATTAATTAATATGTCCTCATTATTATTTGCAAATAAAGGCATTCTTTAGATTTTTAGCAGTCAAGTAACACAACTCTTTAATAACAGTTAAAGATGTTTTGATTTTATTGCCTATCATAACTCAATTGTTCTAGATAAAAGTATGTTTTTTTCCAACTAAACTTACTCACAGTAAATATAGCTCATCGTTAAAAGAAACTGTATTTTTTTCTTATGCTTTTATTCATTGCACAAGTCGTCATGACCAAAGACATCTGGCTTGTATTTTCAAACCACAGTAAAAGCCATCGCATCTGCAAAACAATGAAACTGAAGAAGCGTTAACCATAACATCTGTTTTCTTTGGGATTGATAAAGATTCGCTATATTAAAACCTTTAAATATATTGATATTAGTGTATTTATAGTATATACTACATTAGTCATTTGTCATGTTATTTTGTTTTTACAGTTATCTGATCTTCCACTGTATCTTGGTCAAAGCTCTGTCTAGTCATGGATCTTAAGGTTATAGTTGTATTGCTTGTTGTAATTGTTTGTATAGCAGCACATCATACGACAGGATATTACGACCAACCGGATTCATACTATGACACTCCAGATGGACTATACGATGCACCGGATACACCAGACTACCCTGATTATTATTACCCAAGAGGGTATGGAAGACAAAGTCAAAGGTCTGTTTATAGACCAGTTTACACACGACGAAGGATAATCCGACGTAGATTTCGTGGTTGAAGAGGAAGTACAGGATTGAGTTAATCTTTCTACAATTGTTTTGTGGTGGCTTTTGGTGAAATCCTTCTGTTTTCTCTACTTCAGATTGACAGAAACTACGTGTTGATGAGTAGGAGTGTAATGTTACTGTGATAACAAAAGACTTAAAAACTTGAATGGAAGTTCCATGACCGTTTTGTTTTCCTCAATGGAAAAAAAATGAGATAATTGAATAAAATCTGTAAAAAATATTGTTATTTGTGTTTTTCTACAACAATTACCCATTTGTTTTTTTTTTTAAATAAAATATTGAACCAAGGAATACAAATCTTTATAAGTAAATTATACACGTATTATGGCTAGATATATAGTTATCCAAAATTTCATGTGTACGAATACAGAGCAGGATAAACTTGCCCTTCCGAAGCATCTGGTTGAATCCTGGTTTTCAGGGAGTTCGTATAGCTTACGTTTTAGGTATCATTGTTATATTTCTTATCTTTTATACTTTTATTTCAGTTCCAATCAGTTGTTTGTTGAAAAGATGTTTACAAGAGTATGCGAGGATACAAATGTACTCAGTCGTAAATAGAATCAAAGGTTTACATTCACCAACAAAGGGGGAAAACACGGGGCTTGAAAAAACGGAAGTTTACTCTTCTAAAATGAAGTTTTCATCCTTCTATTTCAAAAAGTATAGTTAAGTATCACTAGTTATAAAGTTACAGATTTTCAAAAGTTCCTGATTTTGAAATGATTGCATAATAAACGTATTTAATGATAGATAAGGGGTGGGTGAGAGATGGGCATATGACAGGGGCAATAAGTTCTGATAGAAGTACAGAGCTATATATATAAAAAGAAGATGTGGTATGATTGCCAATGAGGCAACTCTCCAAAAGAGACCAAAATGACACAGAAATCAACAACTATAGGTCACCGTACGGCCTTCAACAATGACCAAAGCCCATACCACATAGTCAGCTATAAAAGGCCCCGAAATGATAAATGTAAAACAATTCAAACGAGAAAACTAACGGCCTTATTTATGTACAAAATAATGAACAAAAAACAAATATGTTACACAGCAACAAACGACAACAACTGAATTATAGGCTCCTGACTTGGGACAGGCACATACATAATGTGGCGGGGTTAAACTAGTTTGAAGGCGCCAACCCTCCCCTAACCTTGGACAGTGGTGTAACAGTACAACATAAGAACAAACCACAAAAATCAGTTGAAAAAGGCTTAACACATAAGATGCATACAAATAGAAATACACAGAGTAGACGTGGACGGGTACTTATACATCCCCACAACAAAAAGACACTAAGTACAGATCTGAGAGTACTCGCAGCTACTGACGGCTAGTTCAAAGCCAATAACAACTAAAAAAAAAAAATCATGCATCTTAGACCCCGTTCACACTTGGACATTTAGATCGATTTAAATTAGATCGGTTCACTTTAGATCAAAGTATCAACATTTGAACTTGTAATTCAATTGAAACAATAACTTCGTCCTTTATTTTTTGCAAACGTGTGTATCAACACATTAATTTGATTACATATTTGTATTTATACAGTTTTACACAGTGTTTACAATTTTACGAGTAATACGGTCAGATCGATTGCATTTTTAATTGTAGTATGAACGCAGTGGTTCAGATTAGACCGATAGAGATCGTTAGGATTAAAGATAATGTGAACGCTAACTGATTTCATTAAGATTGATTCAAATTTAGATCGATTAAAAAAAGCTAGTGTGAACGGGGTAAGACTAAAGTATCAATCAGTATACACATCCAACATCCAATGGATTTAGAGTAAAGACGTCATAAACAGTCAGAGAAAAACATGACCTTGTGCAATGCCAAGATAAAGGTATAGACAGATTGTAGAGCCGTGAATGTGCATATGTATATAAAATAATTTTTAGTTTGATTTTAATTTACTGATAACAAAATCAATATTAACACCAATAAAAACAATATTCAAAAATCTATGCTTGTAACAACTACTATATCACATAGGTCAATGAAAAAACTATACGACTGGAAATTGCGACCTTTCATGGACACATTGGTTAATTTTGCATGTTGTCAATAACCAAGAATACGACGACGCTTTTACACTATATGAGTAATTGCGTCACATTTGATATTCTTTGTGTGATTACAAGTAACAAACAAAAATGTTTTGCACTTGTATGCTTCCATGACGACGGATTGAAACCTCAGACAATTTGGTTTTATAATCAAAAGGACAATGCATTGTCTCTAAATTTCATACTAGTATAGTATATATCACAAAGAGACAGATCTAGAACACTATGTGTGCTAAGGGTCAGTGATCATAAGATTTTATGGAATTTTACAGAAACATTTTCTCCATGTTAAGTTAACCTGTTTATCAGCAAATAGTCCATTTGTATTCATCTGGGCTCCTCTTATCGCTGACATATTTCTTTATTCGTATGATACAGATTTTAAACAAGATCAATGAATAGATGCTAGCATTATCCTTAAACTTCACCTTTCGCCCTATAGAAGGTATGCGTTCACTAAAAAACTCAAAGTTTAATTACTATATTGCTCGCATCTATCCCATTAAACATGAAAAAAAGTGCACATTATACAATCAGGTCTGATTGAAACATTGATTTACACATTGAAAGTGGGATGACAACTACGATTTCAAATTGATCACTTCACATTTCTGATTGTGAACATTTCGTTTTTATGTAGGACTCCATGTATCATTATTCCAGCAAAACCAGCCAAAAAAAATCTTTCTATCAAGAGAATACAAAATGGCGTCATATAGGTTATTACCAATGACGTCATTTTGATAGGGTAGCTACGTAGACTAGCATATATCGTTCAACACTGTGTTGCGTTCAAAATCGTCGCAGATAGTATATCCGCTATATCCTACATATCTATATATGTTGAACGATACGCTACGTTTTCTCATGCTGTCTAGAATTTCATCATTCATCCACTCATATCTAAGGTCGGAATACTAGTAAGGTCCCGGTTGCTATTGACCAATTTTCATCTACATGATGCAAATTATTAAAGTGTCCGTCTTTTTCTGCGTAAAACAAAAAATGTGTTGCTCCAGTTCCGTTAGATTTTATAATAACTCATTCTAAATCTTAATCAATTATTTTAGTTTTTACGCTGATATTTCCTCTTTTTTTTCTTTTTTTTTAATGCGAACTCTGTTGGCATATTGAAAGATACAACAGAAAATAGAAAATTAACAAATTAACAAATATCGAAATAAGTAAAAGGAAAATATCATAAATAGAAAACATTGGCCCCGAGGTCTCATGTTATAGGACTATAGACTTCCAAAAATCATAGAATCATGATACGAGAAAATTTGTTAGAGATATTTTCGTGTCCATTATTTGATAAAGTATATAAATCTTTAAATAAAAATGTTATGTGTGACTGTCAAGTATTTAGTCTTTGTTTGAAAATTGTAATGTCCAACATATTTTGTGGAAAATAAAAAATACTTGACTATTATCAAAATTTTGCAGTGTTCAAATATTTCACATGCTAGTACTCCGGAATTGTTATGTTAACAAATTTTTGGCAAATAAAAAATACGTAACTATTATCAAAAATTTGCAGTAGGAAAATATTTCACATACTCCGGAATAAGATCCTACCAATACTTGGAAATGAAGATATTTCAAGTAAAAAAGAAATTTATGACAGTAACAAAATGTTATAATACGCCAAACGGATAAAACGGTTAAAAGCTCATTAGAGCTTATGTTGACTCTATTTGTATACTTTGCCGACTCTGAAAAACACTTAATTGTTATTATTTATTTATTCATCATTTATAGCGTGCAGATGAACCCCGATGCCTTTGTACTATAGTAGCATACTATATGGATTTTACTTGTTTTTGAAAGCCCATAGGCGGATCCCCTCCCCCCCCCCCCCTCCCATTTTGTGGGGAAAATTTGGTTGATTATATAGGGAATCACTGAAGCATGACTGGAGCGGCCCCCCTTAGGTCAGTCAGTGGGCCCCCCTTACAAAAAGTTCTGGATCCGCCACTGAAGCCGTATGTTGACATGCAGTTGTTTACATCGCTATCCTTTGTTTACGGTTAACCTGACGTTGCGTCATTGGCAAAATATTTTCATATATATATATATGAGGGGCCTGATGGGTTATTTTCGTTCTTCGTGATCGGCGCATTTTCGCTATCGTGATCCGTTTTTCTACAGATTTATACTCTTTTTATATTTTCGTGATCCGTGATCATGGAAATTTATTTTCTGTGAATCGTGATTGACAAAAAAATCAACTCGTGAATCGTGATGAGACCCCCCCCCCATCAGGCCCCTGATATATACTAATACATCTAAAAGACATCTTTTGATATATTCAACCAGTATTTAAATGAAAATAGAGTGCGAACTGATCCAAGAGGCGAACGTGTAGGGTGAGAATTTGTTTTTGGAGCGAACGCACATTTTTAATGTTATGCTTTAATATATCATGTATAATTCTGTCCTTTTTATGTGAAAAATGAACAAACCACTCTGTAGTTCTGACCGTACGTATTTCATGTTTTGTAGAACGTTTTGCATGGTTTGATGACATCGGGAAAGGGTGCTTTCATACACGCCCGCGTTCCAATGTCGTCAAAACTATTTTTGAGAAAACCCCTCAAAGCGACCGTTTCCAAGGCGCTCGTCGTTAGAAACATGCGTTAAAATATGCGCACTGTTAAAGGGCCGAGCCACCTTAACAGCTAGGCTAGCTATTCGTTCATTCGTCAAAATTAACGTAGCCCTACGCAGCGTCTACGATATTGGAGTGTCAATGCAATCCAGGATATGAAGTATAATATATTCCAGTTTTTACGATATTTCAGAGCATGCAATTCATATCAGGAATTTTCCAACAGAAGGTACTAGTTAGTAACTGCTTACAAGGCCGATACTGAAGAAAGTTATTAATTTTAAAATTGATGTCATCTTGTCGAAGTTTTATTGGACGACATCACGACTTGGTTTTGTTGATCGTTACGGATAATTTGTGTTAGAGATGACAGTGAAATGTTCTATTGGCCATGGGTCAGCGACTATTCCATATTTTTCCGTGTATAACATTCACCTTGATCAAACCTCCTATACACTTCTAGGAATATCATTGGTTAAAAGCGAACATGTGGGAACCGTGTATATTTAATATACAGTCAGTGGGTATATT